TATCTATCTATCTATCTATTTTTGTAAATCCATTTGTTGTATTTTTTTAACTTATTTTTTAATTTGATCCTAATTCTATTTTACTCAATGTTTTATTTATATGAATTGTATATATTGTACATACGTATTTTATTATTCGTATTCTTTTAAATTGTTTGTGGATTAAGGTGGTTACAAAACTTGGCACAGGAAGTGAGTTGTTCAACCTTCAAAATAATACTGACAAATCAGCTGGTACAGGTGATCAGTTGCAGTGTTCAAACTTTGCTTTATACAACTATAAAGCAAAGTTTGACACCAGACCCAAAGGTGCCTTTAAAGCCGCGGGCTCAGGTGTGTGTCACTAATACACAATGTCAGCTGACCTTAAGGAAAGTCCTGTATTCCTATCTTCAAAATCATACACAGTTGAGGCCTTTATCTCCGCATTTTGTTAATTGCTGTGGTCACTGATCCACAGCCTCGTCCTGCATTAGAAAAGTTAAAACAACCAAAGAACAAAAAGAACAACGGAAAGAAAACTCTGAACTTCCGATTAAAGATGTATGATTGTTAAAAATACACAATACAGACAGTGGATTGTAGTTTTTATTATTTTATTTTTATGGCTTCTATTCTGCTCTTATTAATGTATTTTGGTATTCATCATTTATGTATGTAATAACATCACGGCTATCGTGTGCTTTTTTTTAGTTTTTAAAAGGTGCAATATAAATAAAGTTATTATTATTATTATTGACAACCCACCAGTAGCATTTGATTGGAGTTCAAATCTGTTTAAAGACAATCAATAAATGCAACATATCCTATAAAAATAACTGGAAAAGCTGAGTGGATCTACAGAAGCTGAATTCAAATCCAGAGTTGATATTTAGAGGAAAAGCAATCATTTTACAATGTTCAGAATCCCAGTACGTTTTCCACTGTGGTTATGATAAACCTTATTACTGTATACGACCAATGAAAGCACTGAACATTTAATTTACTTCTGCTTAATGAAGCTTTATTTCAACAGTACTTTTATTCACATGTGTCCAGCAGGGGGCGGCAGACAAACACTCTTTATTTCACAACCACTGACCCAGTTTCAGTCTGACCCACAATGCTCTATTGTGAGCTCCTATTGTCCACATCTCTTCTGTATAAATGATTGTTGTTGAACAAGTTTAAAGTCCCCCTCCAGTTAGAACTCAGAGTTTGACACCAGAAAGATGTTTTCACGTTCAGCTGCTGAAAGTGGAAAGTTTCTCTTGAGCTTGTTTATGATTTGTGACATCACAAATAGGTCAGAAGGTCAATCCTGGTCCAGAATGTAACTTATACAGTGTGATGTGGAAACTATTGACAGTATAAATAATGGACAGTGCTTCCAGGTCTGAGAAGTGAAGCCAATGTGGAAGTGTCTTAAATCTGCATTCTCTCTAACGGCCAGCAGGGGGCAGCTACACTGGTTGCAATAACACACTGATACCATACAGTCTTATGAGAAATGAGCCGACTTCTCAGTTGATTTATGAGCTCAGTAAACAGTTTCCTGATGAGTTTCTGGTCTCAGTTTCAGTCTTCTTTCATACTGCATGATGTTCATTTAGTAAATGATGTTAATTGGTGCACAATTTGCATATTCATAGATTCTGGGATTTCTAATTAGGTTGAAGGAGTAGTTTACTTTTTAAAGATTTAAATGTGGAAATTATACTTTTTTCACAAACTATTATTCCAAGAAAGCTATTAGTGTATGTTTCAATATATGTCTGGAGAGGATCTTTAACTGAAGGCATCACAAAATAAAACATTGAGTTTCTTTCCAACAGTGTGGACTTAAAGAGATGACACCATACAGAAATACATTGAATATATTCATTTATATTTGTGCATTTCAAACAGTTTAATAATCATTAACAGCAAAACTACATGTGAAGGAAAGTTAAAATGAGCTTCAGAGATAAACTATGCAGTAGTAATAAACCAATTACAGCCAAACAAAGATGTTTTACTGATTTAGTCATTTTACCCCACTGTGGTTGCAGTTATCTTCAGCTTTTATACTCATATTATATTTTTATAGGTTATAGAAATATAAGAAGAATCACAGAAATAAAACCTGTGGAGATTCTTAAAGAATCATAAAGAAAAGTGTATAGCTTTTGTTGTTATTGACGCAGTTTGATATAAGATGAAACATTAAAGAGCTAAAAAAAAAAAACTTTCCTTCACCTTCTTTTATCCTCCCTCTATCCTCCTTTCCTTCAATGCCTTCTCGTCTCCTTCGCTGCTTCCTTCTATACTTCCAGTTATCAACTTGTTAACATACACTAGCTTCGTGTCACCACAGGGGGGCAGTGTGCATTCACTCAACACACACACTTATTTTTGATGTCGGACCAGATCTGTCACATCAGCCTGTGACTCACCTGCTTAATTGCAAAAAATGGATGAATGAAATCACAAGTCGGCAGTAAACATGTCTGTGCAAAGTACAGTGACACGCGCAAACAGAAGCACAATATTAGGCTTGTCGCTATACAAATATATGCAGCGATTATGTTATCATTATAGAAGGCAAAGTCTGAGCATTATGTTCAGAGTTAATCAGTAAAAGAATGAGGGAAAATACAGACTCTGGCAAGAATGATGTACGAGCCTACTCCTTCCTGGTTAGCAAATACCAGAGTTTCCCTTGAATCCGGTCCCTCAGGTACGTCTTTTAAGCCCTTATTCTGTGATTTATGTAAATGTATGTGCAGACGTTTGCACATTAAATGCTTTGCAAAGCACAAGTCAAAGTGTCAAAGCAATTTAAAAACTGCACAGCGATTGGTGTCAGGTTGAGCTGTGATCGTCAAAATGCAACACAAAAAAAGCTGTATTTACTCAAAGAACGAAGAGTTGTGGGATTTATTTCGATGGAATCACAAACGGACATTGCTGTTGACCCTCAGCTCGGTGGCGCCCTCATTAGGCTCTGGACAGGAAGCGCAGGTTGATGGGCTTTGCAGGGATGAGCAGGGTTCGAGTTTTAGGCTCCACGGCTGGGGCACCGTCTTCAAGCTGAACCTCATAGTGCTGTATTAGCTGCAGGACGACACAAACTGATCACAACTGTCTTCAAATTACCATTTTTCTGTTATCTAATGATTGTTCAGCTCAACACTCTCACTCTTAGTCTACATATTCTTCTAAATCTAAAAAACCCATTGGTGTATTACAGGTGAGTGTACGGCCAACAGATTTGTGTTTTGAAATCAGTCTGTCTCTATGTCACTCACCCTGGACAGAGCAAAGTACATCTCCATCTCTGCCACCCTCTTCCCCACGCAGGCCCGCACCCCGACACCGAAGGGGATGAAGCTATACGGATGATGCTGGAAGTAGCCGCTGGCGTGCGCCTCATCCCGCAGCCACCGCTCCGGGATGAAGGCCTCTGCGTCTGCAAACTCCGCCTCATCGTGACAGACTGAGTAATGACACAGATGGAACTGAGTCTGAAAAGAAAGAATAACATCAATTTCTCCTCATTTCATTGACGGTAACACTACTGTACATCACCTCCTGTGTTGCTCCTGCTCTCCTACCTTCTTTGGGAACCAGTAGTTGGCCACAACCACCTCATTCTCTGAAACAAAGCGTCCATTTCCAGGTACCACGGGATAAAGGCTGGTGGCGAAAGACACAAGATGACAATCAGGCTCCAAATGACAGTGGAACGTGACCTGCAGCACGCACATGTTCCTTTTCCGCTTCACTTCACAAAGTTGATTTCAGATTGCAGATCAGATAAGATAATAACTGCTGCTAAAAAACACGGTTTGTCACGCTACTGCACACACAGGTCAGGACAAGGGTGGAAATGTAGCAACATTACAGATTCCTATTACAAGTAAAACTGCATTAAAATGTCCAACAAAAAATATCTTTCATTTTGTGTTGATTCTGGGTCTCTTGTGGACAAAAGCAGTAGTGTTTCCTCCGCTTTGTTTCATTGATTTCAAGGGGAATCTGACCTGGAGGCAGACATACAGACATATAGAATACCTATATAGAAGTAGCCAGTCTTCTCGCTGATGGTCTTTTTTGTTTCTGTAGGTCATATAGAGACATCAGTAATAAACCGAGGCTGTTTCATAACCAGTTAAAAACTCCTTGTAGTGCATTTGAGTAAAAGTAAAAACAGCAAAAAGGTCAGAAAGTACTCATACTGCAGAATGACTCCTTTCAGGGTCTTATTATTACAAATTGATTATTATTAGTGATGCATTCAGGGACACTGGAAGTCAGTCCGAGTCAGGGCTTTATTTAAATGACCAGACCAATTTATGGCCTATTTAAAGATTATTAACAATATTTTATACAAACTTTATAACTTTTTAGTGGATAAAAACTCTTTCCTGCCATAAATACCAGTGTACAAATGTAAATCCAGCGCCCATGGATGCAGTAACATGTAAACAGCATTTTCAATCTACTTTATTCTTACATGTTGCAGTGTCGTGTGTGTTTTTCTTTCTGTTGTCTCCTGTGTGTGTCTCCCCAGGTACCCCCCTACCCTGCCTTGTGGTTGATCGCAGTTGTTTGCACTCACTATTATTCCTTTCTCAGTCATGCAAACTCCACCCAATACTTTGAAAAGATGACTATGAGGATAATAATTTACTGTTGCATAATATGATATTGTGACAGTTTGCTCCAGGGCTTTAGGCTCACTCATTACTATTAGAAATGTAAC